AAGTCGAATGCGATCAAAAAGGATAAATATATATACATTTTTCTGTCACAATGCGGAATGGCAGCGAGCGTTATCCATTGCAGGGAAACTTTTTATATTATGTCAACTTGCGCGCGAAATGGACCTCTCCCTTCCTAACTAACAATAAGCAACATGCGAAAAGAACAGAAAATTTACAAACGTGTACCTGTAATTATTTGCTAATGCGTGGAGATCTTCTCTTTCTATTTTCGCTAAATTATATCGATTACATTTTAAGTTCGACCGGAATATTACGCACACGCGCGTAGCTCTAATACGGGGATATTTTAGCCATTGCTATAATTTTACTGCGCGCAGCTTTTGCGATTGACGTCTAAATACAGCTTTGTGTATCCCGCGTCGACGACAGAAATTAGTTTTAGGTCGCGAAAGTTTAATAAGTTGAATTCGTGCTGAAATGGCTTACGAAATTATAGCGAACCGAAGAGCCGGAATAGAAATAGACTGTTCCCTCGATATCGCGCTCGCAATAAGAGAAGAAAAAACTCGCTGCGAATGTTTGCGAATTTTTCTTTTTCTTCTTTTTTTCTGCGCCTCGTGCAAGAAACAATCGCGTACGCCAAAACGTGCGCGATTACAGTTTTATTTTCTTGAGAGATTTGCCATGGATTTTACGAGCGTACTATGGCTGCGAGTTGTCTCGTTGCGCGTACAAACGAGGGCGATTCTCGTTGACCGAGAATCGTTATAGCGCGTATCGTTGTGTCTATGCGTTTGTAGTGTTCCTTCAGTCGCCTTTTTTTTTTTTTTTTAGTTTTTTTGCTCGTTGAGTCGCTGTACGCCTATCAAAGACGATCGACAGCGTTGCAGATTATTACTTGTTCGCGTGCTACAGCGGAGAAGCGTTCATCACGACCCGCATTTTCATTAATCTTTAACTTTCCTGTATGTATTTTTTTATTCATGGAAGTGCGTTGTGGCGTATTAATCGGTATAAGGTTCGGAATATATTCCTTACGCTTACGGTTCCGCGGATTGGCGGGAATGTAGTGATGTTAAGTAAGAGAAGAGTGCACAGAGTTTTTAGCGATAGTATCTAGAGAGCTTTGAGAAGAAACCTGTGCTTTAAAATTCCGTTGAGATATCTTCCGACACGAAATGTTTCCCAGTCGACTCATTTCGCCGTGAGCGACTTTGATGTTACTTTTGAAGAAATTTAGTTTTAAAAACCAAACCGATATACATATATATATATATATATATATATATATATATATATATATATATATATATATATATATATATATATATATATATATATATATATATTATACTCATGAAGAATAAATCTCTCATATCTCTTATTTTCTCTCGTCTCTGATATTAATTTAAAACGGCTACATCAATCAGATAATCAATCAAATAATTTTTAAATCTGTGTTATTCATGCAGACAAGGTAATTTCAATGCTTTCCTTTGTATTTTGACAGATAAAACAAATAATGGCTTAGATAAACCTTTTGTTTTATAAAGAAAGATAATGAATTCTTTCCAAAAAAATAGGGTGTACTTTTTGCACATAAATTTTAGAATGGAAAGAAAAGAAAAAGAATGAATGGAGAATGTAATTTGTTAGAATAAAAGAAAATTTTCCACGCGAGAGGAAAAATTTAAGTTCGAGAAAAGGATTTTTATAAAACATCATTTTGCGACAAATTTGTCATCGTATTTGCAAAGATGGACGAATATATCGCGCATGTTTATCCAACGACGTAGCTCAAAGAGAGGGAAGAGCGCGATTTATGCCGATCGCAAGAGAAAAAGACTGGATGCGCTAAAGGAGCATGCTTGGAAGGCTCGAACTTGCACGTATGAATACGCACGCGTGATTCGAATACCGTTTTGCGAAACTCGCGCAGCGAAAGCTCTTCGTGGACTTTCCAAAGAGATTGCGGAGGGAATATCTTGAATTACCTCGCGTTGACCTACCGCATCGTGATGTCCGGCGTACTTTTATCACACACGATCGACACACGGTTTTTTTCGCGATATAATATAGTACATGCCTAGCTAGTACTTATGAAATCAAGCGCGAAATCCCTGTCTGTCGTCCGTTCGTGCATGGATTTTCATAAAACTTTTCGGCCTACGATGTCCTTTTTATGGCCGAAGCGGATAATAGTGTGCGGTATGCGAGTGTGTATCGAAAAGGTGGAAAAAAAATTGAACTCGTTAGAAAGAAAATTGGATGCCTGGCTATTCAGGATTCTGCGATGCAATATGACGTAACGCGCGCATACTCGCTCGGGTATATTTTGCGTTGCAAATTACGATCCAGCCGTGTGAAATTTTAAAAGTCGATCGAAAGCTACGGCGTTGGCTGTAATCGCGCGTATATTATAATTCCTCCCTTAAAGTATTGAAACGAGATATAATTCATCGCAAACGAACTCGGGGGTAGCTCTGGCGCTGATGTGCACTGATTACTGTTTGCGATTGAAAGATATTAAAACTAGTTGATGCGAATAAAGGAGAATGAAGGAAAATTGAGTGGATTAAGAAAAAAATCGATGCGGATCGATACCGCTTGCCCCTTACAGAAGCTTAGAATTTTTTTACACTTTGATCTCACGAGAAAGTAAGAAGAATAACGCGCTGTAAAGTCGACAAACGTCCAGTTCTATTCTCGGATTTTATTCGCTCCACGATGAAATTGTCCTGACGCGGGTAAATTCCGGATCGATAAACCCGCGAATACGTCGCGAGACCGTTCGCTTTTCTCGACTCCGTGTGCAATTCTATGCGATCACGTTTGTTTTTATTACATCGATAACGTTCGTCGCGCGATGAACATAACGAACGGATCTCTATGTTCGCAGATGCCATGAATTCGCTGGTGGAGGAGGTGGTCGTGGAAGCGGGGAAGAACGTCACGCTGGGCTGTCCGGGCGTGACGGAGGATTCGCTGGTGTTGATGCTCGAGTGGCGGGCAAACGGGATGCGGTTGCTCGAGTATAAGAGCAGAAGTACAACCGTCGTACGGCGAACAGAACAGAACAGAATGTCTCTGTCGTTGAAAAATTATTCGTTGCAGCTGCATCCCGTCACCGCCGCCGACAGCGGTATGTACGAGTGTCTCGTGAACAACCGGAATGCGCCGGAAGCTGTGATCAAGCTCATCGTGCGAGGTAGGTGGCGGAATGTTCTTAATCTCCTTTTTTTTCCTCGTCCTTTTGTAGAAATAAGGGTAGAGATAAGAATAGTTGGATAAATCGATATATACATGTATTTAATCAATTTTTTGTTCTTTTATTATTTTAAATATTTTATTGACTAGAAAAATTGATAAAAAATTTTTTGATATTAACGAAAGCTTCAATTAAACAATGAATGTAATCATCGGTGTTTTGTCGAGATTGATTTTAGCGCGATTTATTGATTAAAGTTTCACTCCTGACAACCTGTGAGATTTGAACGTGGTTGTTAGGTTTCCGGCCCAATGAGCGTCACTAGTGAATTAAAAACTCATTCTGTGTCGTACTGGGCGTTTGGTGTTGTGCCAATAAACTTCATCGGGTGGCTACATTGCACTTTTAGTTTTCGTTTCTCTCAGATGGATATCTTTATTAAACTCTAGATTTTACTCTTATTAGAGAGTTAAGAACTTTGAAAATATTATTAATTACTGCACATTAACGCGTTCGCCGTAAAATCATTGTGGTTTCTATCAATTATTTAGACGTAAACCGTCTAAACGTTCTAGTTTTCTAATTTTATGTGAATTAATTTAATAATAAAATCTTAGCTTTCTATTAGTTTGTTGTAAATGATACTTTCCAATCTTATTTTTCGCAACTTTTATCAGTAATGTATAGTTATCGATAATATACCGTTGTGTATGATCGAAGGAGATATAAAAGTTCAAATGCGATTCTTCTGTTCTTGGGCGAGTTAAAAAAGAGAGAGAACTTATTTGCCCCACTTATATTGCTTTTAGCTGTTAGCTATATATATGAGAACAATTTTCCGATACACGAGAATTTCTTACAGTCTGGCATATAATCTGTAGAGAGAAAAAAGAAAATGGACATGTTCTTCAGTATAAAATTTTGATAGTGGATGAAGATTTTACAAAAGTCAATCATTGGTACTTAAATATTTACTTTAATACGATTATGCTTTTGTAACGATCACCAAATAGATATTTTAATTCGTTTTGGATTCTTTTCAGGTACAAACCAGATTAATTTTTTTTTTTTTGCAAATTGTAACTAATTCTCTTTGGGACATTTATATCACGTTAAATGGTTTTTATAATTTAATATATTTAATTGAAGTATTTTTTGTCATCAAAATGATATAACTCGATGTATTTCACATGAAATCTACTTAACGGTTGTGGAATCTTGATCGGGCCGTTGGAATCGATTGCGCGATCGATTCCAATTTTATTGATATTTTCGCACAGGCCAGTCGAAATATCCGCGACTCATTCATCGTGGTTACAATTTGTGTTCAATGAACTAGTTCACTACTAAACTTGGCGAGTTTACGCAAAGTTCGCCGTGAACTTTGAGAGAGGAAGACCGGCCTCGGGAGGTGGCGGCCGTCCTCCTTAACAACCTTGTCGTCGCTCGTCGAGCTTCTAATGCTTTATTTTAAAACTGAGTTGGTCTCTCCCCTCTTCTCGCACGGAGTGTTTGCTTTAAGTATTTACGCCTGATTTGAATTCGTCACGTGCAACCCGCCGCGTCAAAAGCAAACTTTTCCGAGCGTCCTATAGACGACGGAGCGGTGCGGAATCATGGAAGTGCGCGCGGCATAACTTCGGCCGCATAAGTTTGGCCACCAACTTCACCGCAGAAAAAAAAAATGAAAAGAAAAAAAGACAAGGAACGAACGGGGAGTTCTATCGCGTTATGTCGCGCGGTCATTTGCATTCAATGCACGATCCGTTACTCAATTTGACTAAAAAGTTTCGAGCCGCTAAAACGATGTGAAATTATGCCAACCGGCGGGTGTTCTTTGTAACTTTGGTATGAGGGTGAACTTTGCGCGACGCGACAATATGGTTTCGTCAGAATCAATGTACTGTACGCGTGATCAAAGCTCGCGAATTTACATTTTTCACTTTTTGCGTACTTGATTTTAAGCGACATATTCATATCTCGTATCTTACAACGTGTATTATGATGTATATATACATTCTACAGTGTACGTGCTTCCTGCTCGAAACTCCGAGCACGTAACACTTCGGTGGTAACCAATATTCGCGTTACGTCAACCATTAAAATGAACATTTTTCAAATCTTTGCAGCAGGAGCGTATACACACGTATCTCGTGAATACATTTTCCTTGCAAGATTGATTCTCATGTTTTCCCCTCATTTCTGATACTCGTGAAAATGCGTATTGAAAAATTGCGCATTACAGTCGCGTGCGAGGAAGAAATGAATGGCATAAAGATAGATTTCTTATTATTACTCATTGCCCCGTCGATCTAATTTGTTCTACAGAAACCTTGTTTTTATCATATAATAAAACGCGCTTTCCTAGACGAGAAAGATTAAAGAAAACATTATTCAATTAGCAATTTTGTAATTACACAAATTATAATGAAATTTTATGAATACTGTCTGTGTTCGCGGTGAAAACTTCTCACGCCCAGTTTCCAAGTTATTTTCTCGTTAAATCATCGGCTGGATCGCTAATTTGTTTGATGAACGAGCAACGGTGAAAGTCGTGGATACGTGTGCGCTCTCTTCGAAACGATATCGCGAACGTACAAAGGGCCCAAAGGGAACGCCCGGAACGAGCTTCGAATTATCGTCCCTCGAAGTTCCACCAGGGGCAACAGGGACGATGTTGGTTGACTGTGGCTATGAATAAGCGCGAGTCGTTTAACAGCGTGACGTTTTTTCGGCTCGCGGCAAAACAGTTTCATTCATATGCATGACAGGATACGCGGTTCGGTGTAAAAGAGAGCGAGACGGTGAAGCGCGTACAAGAGAGAGACCTACAGAGAAAGAGAGAGAGAGAGAGAGAGAATGAAAAGAGAAAGAGAGAGTAAACCTACGCGCGGAATCTCGATAGCTGCTAACGAGTCACGATTATTCCTTCTACTTCGCTTAACGAGCAGATGCAGATGCGAAAACCTTCGCATCATTCACCGTTACTGAGTTTGCCTTAGCATTGATCGTTTGTTACTTTTGTATCTGTAAAAGCCTTATTCAAAGAATTTTTTTCCAACGACAATGGAATCGAAGAACAACGGAAGAATTTTCGTTTTAGCTAAAGAGTTCGTGCATATATAGGCTATTAAGATACAATGCGTACGAGACGTTCTCGTTTCAATATAATGTACGTATATAATACCGAGGAATGGTACGATCGCGCGTATTCTTATGCGTCACGTGTAGATGACGAGACAAGCTAAAGGAAGGATAGCAGTAGCTTGACTAGGTGATCCGAGAATTGAGTTGGAAATGGATAGAGCCAGAGAGGGAATGTGCTCTTGGTGGAACAAATAAAATTGTTCTCCTTCGGGATTACCGTGCTGCATGCATTCGCCGTGTGTTGTCGTCAGCTCGCGAGCTCTTTCAAGAGGAGATCCCTTTCTTTTCTTCGCTTACGTTCTCCCTTCTTCTCTCCTTCTCTCTCTTTCTTCGCCCACATTCGTTTCGTCCCTTTCCGGTTGATTTTAGTACAAGCGAATCATCGAGGTTGCTCGTGACCCAAAAGACAAAAGCCTCGTCGACAGTTATTTCTTCAATGGTTACCAAGCCACGAGTGCTGTTTTTCATCCGGGCATCTCATTTAAGACAGAAACAACGACGCGAGAGAACGACGAGTACTCGGAAAATGGCATCGTTCGATTTTATTTCATGTCGGAGCGAAGGGATCGTTTCGCAATTTCCGTATGTGTAAGACAACCGATTCCATTAGAATGTTCCTGATACCGTACAACGTACTAATCTCGCAGATGTACGCACGATCGGTCCTCAACCGTTTATTAGATGTGTTTTCCCATTCTGCAATCGAGATCGATTTTCTATAACCAAGTTCGATTCAAATTACGATTGCGTGAAAACTCACTACCTATTCACAGATTTTTTTTTTCAAGATACAAAGAGCTGCCGATGTTTATCTGTCGTAACGTCAAAAATTTGGGTCGATCCGCCTTAAAAATATTTTATTGCGCGATCTTGCTCTATCCCAGATTTTGTTTCCACATGTCATCGCGCACGTCTCTCGTATTTCGCGAATTTACCGTATTCCAAAAATCCGCGATATGTACATAGCGAGTATTAGAGTTTTTTTTTCCTTTTTTTTTTTTNNNAAAAAAAAAAAATCCAATGCAATATATTCAATTGTATAAAATACGTTGTTGTAAGTAAGGCTGTTTGCCCGCAGAGAAACTAAATCATCTAGCGAGGTACCGGCGTGTCTACCGGCGTCGGGAATTAATTCATCATTTAGCCTAACGAAGGGAATAACTAGTTGTAGCGGATGAGGTGGACGCGCGTAATAATGCGATGTCAGATAAGACGACGAGCGATGAGCACGTTGTCGGCTCTGGAAATACCGAGTTTTAGAGTTTTTTTTTTCCTTTTTTTTTTTTTTGCGACACGCGGATATTCCGGGCTCTGAAGTCCGTAATACGATTTGTAATGTGTACAGCGCGGATGAAAGGCTTGCGAGATAAATCTCTAATGAAAAATTTCAAAGGTATCATACTTTTTGAAATTAGAGTATTAGTCTTGGTTTCATTGGAGATGGGAATCTCCGAAGTCTGCGGCGCGAGGTCGGGTTGAGATTTATTTTACATCGCGAGTACACCGATCGCCCGAGTGAACTTTTGCGAAACATTCTTACCGCTACGATGGAGTGAGTTTTTCTCACGGACTTCTCCGAGTGGAAGAACATACTACCGCTTTCCACTAACCGATGAGGTAACGCGGAAGACGCGGTTCAATTCGAAAAGTTGGAAACGATTCGCCGAGCAGCCTCACCGTAACGTTCTCGGATTAGCATACTATTCGTTACTTGCGTATTCTACGAGTGATCGAGCGCTTCGAAGCACGCGTCTTTCTTCTTTTTCTCAATAGAGATTCCGCACCGAGGTAATCGCCATTTAATCGCAGTATATCCAAACATACATATTAGTGAAATTGCTTCGTTTAATTAT